AACATGGAATCAAACGTTTACATTGTTTGTAGTTTTTTTTGGCTGTTGTCGTTCGTTGTTTATAATCTTTATCCAAATAAAGTTCAACATATGCATCATCTTTACCGACAATATCCTTATCTTTCAAATTACGACCTTCAACAATTGTTACTTGTAAAGTACCGTGTGTGCTCATTGTTATCGAATATTACTTTATTTGGTAGTTGCTTGCAAAGAGTAAAAAATAAAAATGATGTGTATAGTTATAAATCGAACGTTAAGTAGAAGCGACATTTTTTTTTCTTTTCGATCAGGTACAAAAGAAAAAAAAATCATCGATGGATACAATCGTACACGTTTTTTTCTTCATTCTTATACTTTTTGTTTTACAAAGTGAAGAGAAAGTAAACGTTACGATCGAACAATAAATCAAGAGAGAATAAAATTCTACTAAAAAAAAAGAATAATCTTTGGCTTCTGTAAAAAAGAAAAGTTGCTATCACTATGTATATTATTTTTATTTATGTTTGGAGAAAGTATTCAATAGAATGTAAAAAATGAGTCATAAGTAAAATAGAGTGGTCTGATTCATGAGTGTTCTTAAGTAGAAAGTTAAATTTAACTATTGAAAAGAGGGAGATACTGAAGTGATGATGAATGAAAGAAAAAGACTATTGGATAATTGAATACATAAATATAGATATGATTCATTTTATAAAATAAAAATATATTATTTTTAAAATAGTATGAATATCCTTGCATTGTACACATTCAATCATCTTGAGATGTCTATATCTAGATAATATTGAGTTTGATACATATAAATACTGAATTGTTGATCTAGTCGAACAATGAGCTCATCTTTAACTTATTGATTTATTTCTGACATAATAAAAAATTATGAGAATTTTCTTTTTTATTTTTTGATTGGTTTCGGTTGCGTATTTATTATATTATTAAAATATGCATAAGAACACATTTAGTCTATCTTGCTTTTCATTTTATTTTGTCAGTATTTCTCATATACCATCTGTTTAGTATGTTTGTTGATTATTGTTCTTCTTATCGAATGTGCTGATCATATTAACTCTCTGTTTAATTACTATTTTGTACAATAAAAATAATTATCTAACTCTAACAAATAAACAGAAAGTGATCGTCAGACTTATCTTTACCTAAAACTATTGTTTTCCTTTTCCAATACGATGTTAATCAATTTTTCAATTGAAAAAACCAGAGATCGTATTTAAAATTATGATAATTTAGTGTTACATGAATTCATGATACTCATTTTTGTTTAAAGACTACGAATATGCCAGTAGATATTTTAGTGTATGATAATATTGTATATCTTGTCTGAATAGAATATTAAATAGAAGAACTATATTCCTTAGCTAATGCATAAAATAGTAACTGATAAATCATAATGTTCTATTAGTTTTTTCTTGTTGACCGTGTAGCGTTACTATTTTGATGTTAAGCAACTCTGTTAATGACTTCACGAAAAGATTAGTGACTCTTCTTTTATTGAAGAAGCAAATGATAATGTATTGACATATATTTCAGTGAGAATTTTTAAAAGAAAAAAATGGTTGACAATTAGCAGGTGAGGGTAAAAAGGTAAATGTGGGAACAGCGAGATCATCATTCATTCACCATCAAGCACTTTAAATTAATACATCAATCGAGTTTTCTCCTAATGTGCGTATGCACGTATGTAGGAAACAGGAATCGATAATCATGAAAGGCAAGGAAAAAAACATGTCTGATGCTCACAATGACTAGATTCTGTACAAAGAAAGATCTGTTTTGATAAGTTCAACGGACAGTGTAACAGTTTTGATTTATTCACAAGGGCGTACTGAACCACTCAATGCGTGAGAGAGAGGGGATGTATGGAGGTTCTACATAGTCAAATTCTAAAACTGGAGGAACTTCGCAAAAGTAAATTAGGAAGGGAGGAGAGTATTGTGCTGCCAGTAGATTTGCTTCTGCTTATTCGTTTGATACCTGCGTCTTTCGACGAGGATGCGTTGCAAGGCTATCATTATCCACTGGTGCAATTTGAATAGCCCCACACCTCATGCCGGGAATTAGTAATGAACGGAAAATTTTGATGAGTTCTCCTCGAAAAGTACGTGCAGTCAGTGTATATAAATAGAAGGATGCAACAGGAAATATGTATAGCATCAATTCAGCCGCAAAAGCAAGAAGTCCATTGATGGCCAAAGTATCAGCCGTTCTGTTGGGTATAGTGCTTGACACTGTACTGTAAAGTAAATTAACCACTTGTGGTGTTGTTAGAACAATATAACAAGCGCTCTGTATGAGTAATAAGTTGAGAACTTGATGATCAAGTGAACGCTTCTGGTGTCCATGTTCTCTAGAAGCCACAGTAGTGACTTGTTGCTGACGTCTTTGTCGTTTGCGAGCGAGATTACGACGGATAAGAAGAGCACATCCAATCATAATTCCTGCCGGAAGAATACCACCTCCTATAGTAACATAGAGAGCATGGTAGAGTGCCGCTCCAAAGTTGGTTACAATACCACATATAGTTCCTTTGATCTCGTAAAATATGAGTCGATGAGTGCAAATAATGGACCAGAAGACTATAATCCCGATAATCGAACGAATCGACATTCGTGCACTTGCGAAGTTGCGCAGACGAGCGTTGTCTGAACTCTGTGTATAGCGATCGATACAGGCAAAAACTACGAACCAACGAGAGACCATCAAACCAATCTGGAATAAATAACCACGTATCTTGCAAAAATAAAGTGAGTGTGTTAATAGATCAGGATAATCCAGACTGTAGACTACTGGTCCAACCCCAACAATCAGAGTAGCCAAATTGCTGATAGATGCTGCGAAAAAATCTATAAACAACGAAATATGAAGTTTTTCTTGAAAAACAAACTGCAGTAAGTTCAAGTAAAACTTCTCACGTATTTTTTATAGATTGTTACTTTTAACGTAGCAAAAATTATATTAGACGTCACCGATTGATTATTTTCTTTTTTTCTCATGTTTCTCTGACTGGAGATCTTCTGTAGCTTGAACAAGAATATTCCGAGATTAGACAAATAATTATATCTGTATATAAACGACAATGTGTTTAGAAAGTCTACGTCTTGTTCTATCTCACTGGCTGATCGAAGTATTTTAAATCATGTTTTCAAGTAAGAACTTGATAAAACATAACAAGATTATGATCATATAATTAAGAAAATATGAGTTCTATCTGAACTAGAAAGTGTATTGTTTATTTGTTCGACCTATGTCTTCACGTTTTTTATCTCAGAACAGTACTACACAGGCTCACTATCAAAATCGAATTTAAAATTCATACTTACAATTGCAACATGAAATTTTGCGTAATCGACGACGAGAAAAAATAATAGCATCCAGAATACATCCAGGCACACCGAAGATAAGCCAAATCGAATATACATAGCGAATCAGTTGTTGTTGAACACCGAAAAGTACGACGGTCAACGACGCTGAAGACATTTTAATGAGATGCTAGTATTGCTGTAATTCTTTTTTATTGAATCTATATGATAGTAATACATTATTCAGAATGTTTTTTTATGACGTTATTTGTTATAAATAGTGATGGCATTTCAATTCATAATATGTAAACTTCCGGAAGAGTGGCATACATTCTCATACTGATAGCTGCATGAATTTTATATAGCAATATGCGTACTTTATCAAATGCACTGTGAAAAAAAACATGAGTAACGTGGGTGACGATTGCGAGAAGAAATACACTCACATGAACCTCGTCTAATTTTTTCATTATAATGGAATCTGTCATTGACAGAAATTATGAAACGTTGAAAATAAAATTAGTAATTAATTATCCCAATTCGACTTCTCTTATGTCATTTACTGCTATATAGAACTCTAAGCTTACAGATATTGCTCTCAAGATTTCAAAAAACTTGTGACACTCACATACTAGAATGGTTATTAGCATTAGCAGAGTAAAAAACTGTGTATAATCTCCAAGCTTTCTTAAGATGTTTTTTCCTCAGGTTTTATATTAACTAGTTGTATAGTTAGAAGGCATTCTAACAGTTTCTTTTGTCGACAGGTGTATTTTAATCTGAACTATGAAAACGAAGAACCAGTTAGTTTGTTTACAATACGATAAGATTTACGCATCTTCATACACAAAAGATGAATGTAACGTTGTTAAAAATAGGAATGTTACTTTATCTTTATATTTCTAAAATAAAAAATAAAGATTTTTTTTCTATCGAAACGTACCTTTTTTATTTTCTTAGAGTAACTCACAAAAAACTATGATATTATATAGTTAACTATAATATGAAATAACATTTTTCGTATATACTGTTTCTTAAGTGATCCTTTTTATTATGATATGACATATAGAAATGATGATGATGATGATAAGAAAGAGCATTAATCAACGTACTCTGTTGTTATACAGGATATTTGCATATGCACTTATTGCACGAGAAAATTATTTTTATTCTTTATTTTAAAAATAAAGATAAATTAACATTCCTAGTTAAAAACGCTTGACTGATTCTTACAGAAACTGCTCGCTTATATAGACAAGAGAAAAATAACATTTCTTTTTTTAAATAATAAAATCTAAGGAAGAGAATGACATTAATGAAAAAAGGTAAAGGTAAAAGAGACAAAAAAAAGAAGAACTAGTTAGTTAGTAATCTTGTATTAAACGACATGTTTGACTGGATCACACAGTGTTAATTATATTTTATTCTTGCTACTATAAAGTGTTATAAAAGGAAATCCTTGAAAGCGATGAATGGTAAGAAATTGAATAGTAATCAGGCTTTTGAAACATTCTAACATTTAGGTTGTATTATGTTAATTATAATCATCGTCAGAAGACCATATTATATGATAATACAGGGATTTTGCGTTCTTTCAATATATTTTATGGTTTTATCAGATAAAAAATAGGTACGACGAAGAATGAGAAAAATAATACATGTCGTAGAGGGAAATATCGAATATTTTAATTGTAGTAAACATCGGATGTTGTGTTAAATTAATACATGTGTTGTTAATTTATAAAGTAATTTTTAACAAAATTTCGAATCGCGTACCTAGGAAGTTCACCGCCAATAAAACTATTTCTGTCTTATTCAAAAAATATTCTGACATAAATAACTATTTGACATTAACTGAATTTGTTGTTCTGTGATGTTTAGCACTTTTTAGATTGTCGAGTTACATCACATCAATTATTCTTTTATGAAATAACGCTTTGATCACGTTTTGTTGAGAGCTTGACAATAATGAATTAATTTTTTCCACTCATCAACTTTTTTTTTGTTCGATAGGATTTTAGAAAGAAAAAAACAACATTTTATTAGTAAAAAAAGATTGAAATAACAAAAACTAGAACGTCATTCAATAGATCATAATATAGTGGTAACAAAAGGATATTATTATTTTTTATAAATTGTAGAAAGTTTTACGTCGTCAGGGATTTGTCAATTTTGAAAAATAAATCTATTATTTGCTAGAGATTTTTTTTCATACTATTGTCAAGTTACTTGATCATTTTGAGGGTGTGAATGTACGGATACTTTGATCCAACTCAGCATTAAAAGTACAGACTTTTGTTCTGTATAGCTCTTTATATTAAAATTAATTTTCTGGAAATTTTTCCTTAGACGAGTTATAGTTTCAGTGGGGAGAAAACACAGTATATAAAAGTGAACGATGAAATTGATAGATGGCACTGCTGTTTCTTTCTGATTATTTTAATTCGACAATTGTTGGTCAAGAAAATTAATTATATTTTCACTATTTTTGAATATATCAGTTCTCTTACGGAGTTTACAAATCCTAAAACAGTTTTTTCGTTTATCTATAATAATAATTTTTACTTCCGATAGGCTAAGTTTATCAATGAGTGAGTTCGAAAAATAAATCTTTTTCTTTTTTAGATTATTATTATAGATAAGAGTTGAATAAGACTATCAGAAAGTAATATTAACAAAGATCAATTTGGCTTTAACCATGTCAATAGTATTAGTGAACAAGAATGATCTTCTAATTTTCTAGATTTATTTGAAATTTCCTCGAGCGGCGATTTTTAGATATTTTGCTATGAAAAAAGCAAATTTATCGAAGAATCTATGCAATTAGTAAAAAAACTCGAAAATGCATGTTTACAAGCATTCTAATCCCGTGATTAAAATATTTTACATTTTCTATGAGAACCAGTTCAAATATTTATTCATCCTTCTGGTTTGTGATAAAATCTCAATTATATGTATTTTTCTGAATTAGGATATTTTATGTTTAGTCAAGAAAGAAATCTTTGTTCAACAAGTGTCAATCATACAGAAAGAAAAGTTTTCTCTTCTGCTCCAATAATCATTCATATATATATAGTGTGTCCAAAAGTAGCTTCTTAAAAGTTTTTTCGTGTATCTTTGCTAACTCATTTTATTTCGACGCCAGTTTTATTCGGCAAAAGTAACACTTTTAATCGAAATTTAAAAATTTTGCTTTCATTTTTATGTGCCAGAAAACATCACACAGCTGGGTGAGTGCGGATGGATAGCTCTTCTCTTTATCAACGCACCTTTTCAACCACACTCACACCCACAGCCACCTTAAACTCACTGCTTTATAAATTAATACTAATTGGACTACAGCGCTCGAGCGACTTGTATTTTGTATTCAGTATCAGAAATCTTGTTCTCTATCTCGAGCTCTGTCAGTTCATCCTGAATTCCATTTTATTTTTATGTGAAGATTATTTATTTATTTAAAGTAAATGTGAATGAACAAAAAAAGCAAAACGAACGATAACACACACACACACACACACTTCAAGGCATATATGTATATTGGGAGGATCAAGAAGAAATAAGTAAATTTGATCATATATATATATATGACTCAATAAAACGAATAAAAGAAGATGCTATATTGTCTTATATGTTGAAAAGTAGCTAATGTTTAAAGTTAAGTATATGCATGATAATATCCTCCACATTTCGTAAAATTTTAACAAAAAAATCACATTCTATGGATTCGCCAAAGTTGTTATATCCGTCTGCGATAATTCTCTACTATA